CTCCAACCTAATAATCTAATAGCAACGGCCTCCAACCTACCATCTAAAAGCGATGGTAAACAAAAACACCTACGTTCTTCCTGAAGTCTGTATAGCCCTGTAGGAATTAAGCTTTTCAAAAAATCGGGCCTTCTGAGCAACATGGGCAACCGCTGCAACCACCAAACGGTTGGTGGTCAGGTTGATTTTGTGTCAGGTCATGCACTGCTCTACACTAGCTGCCTTTTAATGGCCTTACTTGCCTTACTACATGGCCTCACATCTGGTATGCTGCCATTGGCTCGAACCGAGTGCAATTCAATCATTGATGGCTTGAATCTCGAAACCTCCTTGCTGCCATGTGATACGTTGCAACAACTGCTTCCGATCCTTTTGACGCTTGAATGCCGTTCACCATTGCTCTTCAGGCTTCTCATCCTCTTCATCAGAGTCAAGCCTTGATCAAACTCATTGAAACGATTGAACTGGTATATTCAGCTACAGGACATCTTGGACAAAATATGCGACTTAAGCTCGATGGTTCTGGGACAAGATGAAAGAAATCCCAAAGGAGCTCGAGCAAGCGGATTATGCAGATGGCCGAAGATCGAATACGTACGCACTACATATTAACCAAATACATCTAAATGTGTGGCTATGACAATGTCTCTCGAGGTTCCGCGCCCAATGCGGTCCAGATCACCCAAGTCAGGCAAATCGGACTTCCACCTGCCACAAAAAACAAGCCTAGAAACCCTTAACAAACCTTCCCCCTATCCTTTTCTGCGCTGAAGTGAAACGTTCGAAATGTGTTCAACGAGATGAGGAACAAGTTCGAACTTCTGATCAAAGGACACCTTGATGAAAAGACTCAATTGCAACAAGCTGCTCAAGGATAGCGTGGATGAGCCCACGTGAAAAGATGTAAAGCTGTGTGGGTGGAAGGGAGGTGGCTGAAGCGGCTGAAGTGCGGCGGGCATTTTCCAATGTTCTGGTGGGTTCAGGGCAGTTGCCGGGCGCGGTCCCATGCTAGGTACAAACCCTTTTGTTCACCATCCTCTTGTACCACAAAGGTTGGCTCTGAGAGGTTGGCCAAACTTACTCGTCTCATTTTTTTAAAACATTAAAAAAAACACAAATCAATGACATAACTCTTGTTACATTGCTTCTATCAGCAATGGCCTCCAACCTAATAGCGATGGCCTGCTTCCAACAAAAACATGAATAATAAAACCTCCCAGTGCACTTTCGTGGCAGGCACGGCACTGTGTGAACCTGAATGTGCAATTTTTGTAGTGGGCGCATGTGGGCGCAGCACTTGGTGGACCTCGATGTGCAGATTTCCTGGCAAGTGCAGCATTTTGTGAATCTTAAATGGCAGATTTTCTGAATCCCAAATTTCATGTTCGTAACGTGCATGCGCCCTCTCATGTTGTGCTCTCATGTGAGTGCTGACATGATAAAGGGCAAGAAAAGGACACAAGAAAGGGTAGCGGGGCGACGGAAAGGACCAGGCAAGCAACAAAACAACAGCATGTTAAAGGCAGTACAGACTCAGTATTGAAAGGACCTGTTTCCATTTTGCAGGGTGCATACAGTGGGTTGACCTTCAACGAACCAGCTTTGTGGAAGGCACGATGCTTTAGCAGAAGTAGTGCAGAATTCGCGGCGTTGGAGGGGGTGGGGGGGGTGGTCAAAGGGAGGGTGCAGCGCCTCCACCTCAGTGAAACAAAGATATGTTATACTTTGCTGGGTGTGTATGGCGGATTGACCTCCACAATGCTTCTTAAGAAGTAGTGCAGATTTCCCCGTGCTGGAGGGGGTTGGGCAAACATTTTAAGACCATGCATTCATGCCCATGGCACAGACGTGAAGGAGCAAGAGGCCGAGAAGTTTGCCAAGAAGAAGACGAGCGGAACAGGATGACCAGAACAGGGGACCAGCGACCAGGAGAACAAGCGCCAGCGAACTAGGGGACCAGCGAAGGAGGAACTAGGGGAGCAGCGGAGTAGAGGATGTTTTTTTTTTATTAGTTATCTTTCTTTTTTGAATATTGTTCTTGTTTTTTTCCTATTGTTTTTCTCTTCATATGCAAGAGGGAGTTAGTGGCTAGTCGGTATTCCTTGGCTTCTCGCTTGGCGCTGACTGGGTTCGACTGTGGTTTGGTACAAAGAGGGTGAAGGGGCAACATCTTGCTTTTCAATTCGGCTTCCTGTATTGCTTTTGGTCGAAGATGTGGGGCTTTGGCTTCTCCTTGTTTTGGGCACGCAGGTGTATAGGAAACCTGTCGGAGTTGTTGTTGCTGCTGGATCTGCTGCTATTACGCCCCACAGCTACTGCAGGCCCAGAATGAGGCTGGGGGAAAGCATGAGTGCAGCGGCAAGATGTGAAAGGTCGGCCCTGTTTTGAGCGTTTGGGAATTGCACATGGCCTTACTGTAAATTGTACTTACTGCAATGGCCTCCACTTAGTAGCTTCTAGTTACTAGTAGCCTGCAAATAACGGAGGATTTGAAGGCAGGGTCACCGAAGCGATGTGTAAAAAGCAACCAACTAGCTCTGCAGTGCTTGGTGCATTCGGAGCTGCAAAGAACTCAGCAGCTACAGAGCATCTACAGAGAGAACATATCAAAACTGAGTCAATATTGTAAATATGTAGCAATGTTCTTAGGAAGTGCCTTAACTCTTCTTTTTTCAGGTGCCTTGGAACGACTGTATGGCGGGAACGCCATACAAAAATGAAAGAAACAGGACCCATGCTGTTTTACATGCAAGTGCGGAAAGGCATGTAAATCATGTAAAAAATCGTTCGATTTGCCTCCCTGGTTAGGCTCGATCCGAGGACAAATTACAAGACAGCTTCCGTTGACCTTTCGCATGCTTGGTGAAGCACGCTCTTGCTTGAATGTTAGCCACCACAAAAGCAACGGTTCGTTTCGTCCTTGGAACGAACGCGGCCCTGCCAAGGTTACCTCCTTTGCTGCTTGAAACCTCTCTACGCCGTTGACACGCCTACGCCCGTCTCGACATGGTTTCAATCGAACAACCGTCTCAGCACCTTCGCCGACCGGGTGGACTCGCTTTGATGGCCTGCAAAGAATCGGTCTCTGCACGACTACACTCACTACACCTGCCGCATGCGACCCTAAACCCTAAACCTGTCAAACTTGCAAGGTGCTATGGCAGCTATGGCGTTGTTGGTTGGCAAGGCTAGAGTCTATTTCTGCCCTTAACATTCTTCAATATGTTGATGATTTATAGACCTTTCTTTCTTCCCTTTGTTGATCTTTTGTCCAAATTAAACATATCCTCACATATTCACAATCGCGAAAGGACAACTTTGCCAGCACATTTTCATCTCTGAGTCAAGCAAGAAGCGAGAGCAGCGAGAGCTTGGCAGCGATTCTGCCGGAAGAGCTGATGGACTCAATCTCATTGTATCTCTCATGAATCTTCACACAATCACCTATCCTTCCCGAGTGTGTCCGTTCACACAGCCCTGTTTCCCTCTGTTGGTTGCGGTTCACAATTCAATCTATCTTTGGTACATTCTGGAGATGTCACTAGCTCTTGGGTTGCACTCAGTTGGCAATTGCTTGCATGCTCCCAACGATCATCTCCGACCTTACATCTTCTTTGAACTTGCAATGTTAGAAGTTCCACAAATCTGAGGCCCATTGGCTGACTTGATGCCATGAATGATATAAGGTCACAACATCTCTGAAATGGACGGATAGTCAAAGGCCTCAGTAGCGCACACTCAAGAGTTCTGAATTACCATCCCAAGCGGCAAGGTCCAAAGTAACTCTGTTTCTGCAATCCGAGATGAGGACCAAAGTGACAGGCAAATTGACACCAGGAAGGTCCTGGTATAACCAGTGGTGGTTGAAACTCCAAAGAATGCGTCAATAAACGAAGGAACATAGTAACAACTGCATCGCTACTAGTAACAAGGGCATTACCTAGTAACAAGAAACTACTAGCAACAAGGGCATCGCGACTAGTAACATATCTTCCCTGTCATCTTGGCGAGTTTTTTACGTTTCTTGTTCGACTTCACAGGATGACAAGATGCTACGTGGGGTGCACCTTGACCAGCAGTTCTCGCAACAGTACAGCCGATGCACTGGTCATTCCAGCCTTCAAACACCAGCACGGGGCCACGTTGAACGTGCTGATTGACTTCTTGGTCTTGTGGGTTAAGACAGTGTGGATTGCTTTTGCCGGTCATGGAAGAGCCGAGGAAACACACCATCCGCGTTTAATCCCTTTCGATTTCATTCTATCACGGCGGGTGGCTCGATAGGTCTCGACGGCATCTCACACTCACAGTACCTCAGGATGCCTGGCGCTCCCCGCGCCTCCATCAAAGGTGTCTCAATCTCAAGCTCACCGCTCTCGGCACCAGTCACCGCTGCAGCGACTTCTCTGACCTGCAGCAACGGAGCCTGGCCCACTATGGGATTCTACATGAATCAGCAAGCCTGGGAGCCAGCCCCGGGATCCCAATCAACATGCCCTGGGATCCGTCCTGACCTCTTTGCCACGGATCAGGATCAAAAAGAATAACGAACATGATCAACAAAAGTAGTCCTGACTAGGTCCCCTGGTCCTCTGGTCCTCTGGTCCGGTCCCGTGGTCCTTCGGTCTCCTGGTCCGCTGGTCCCCTGCTCCTTCGGTCTCTTGGTCCAGTGGGCACCTGACCTAGTCAGTCCCTTGGTCTCCTAGTCCGCTGGTCTTATGGTCCTTCAATCTTGGTAGCTCCCTAGTAGAGAGATAGCTTTGCAGTGAGGTGCTAGTTCGCTGGTATTCCCAGTCTATACTTGACTTGCATTGCGGGGGGAGGCGCTGCGCCCTCCCCACACCCCCTCCCGCTTCTTTTTTGTTGCCACTACCCCTGCTACAACCAGTGCCTCAATCACCCCGACCACACCACTACCAGTCTTACCACAGTTACCACGGGATGATAAGGCCCACCTTCGCCTAGCGTGACAGCCAGAAACCTTCGCTTAGTAGGAAGCTGGCCTTACCCCTACCCCTACACCTACCACTACTACCAGTACCACTACTACCACTACCACTACTACCACTACCACTACTACCACTACCACTACCACTACCACTACGACTACTACTACTACTACTACTACTACTACTACTTTCCCCATTAATTCTTCGCTGTCAATATTTGTTTGATCCGGTTCTTTTTTTTGATTCCTCTTGCATATATTTTTTGATGCTGATCTCGGCATCCTTTGGGATCTGTCCTGACCTCTTTGCCTTAGCTTGACTGGCTTGTGCTGGAAGACCAAGGCCACCAACATCTACCAACCGAAACACCTACCCTTAGTAACTTGGAGCAGATAAGACCCGACCCACAAACCCCAAGCATGAACACTCTCTCCACCCCTTTCTCACATCTCAAGTTGGACCGTGTTGTGTCGCTTGGCACCGTGTCGCAGCAAGGGCGAACGTCGCTCGACTGGTGATTGTGATCAACTCTGTTGGACCTTGCCCATGATCATCTCAGGAGTCACAGAGCTCATGTTCAAAGCAGGCCTTAGCTTCAACTGAGCTCGATAATGGCTTGACTGGAATGACCAGTTGCATTGACGATGCTTTGACCGGTCTTTTTTGGCACACCAGGGCTCCACGAGAGCCATCGCCACTTAAAATCTTAATCATCCCTTCGTTCTCGAGCAAGCTCCCTCTCCCAAAAAGGATAATGCATACATGAAAGCAACCTCTATGGACAATTGTTTAGGTCTATATATATAGTCTTGATGTTCTTTGGAGATTTCTTCTCATGAGCTTTCCGCGTTGCTTGTCTGTCTTTGCTACTGAGCGTTGTTCCCTGTCTTCAGTGCAGTTGCCGTCGTCTGAGCTTTTGCCTGAGCTTTGGAGCCAAGAACATGTTGCAAATGATTCTGCTAAAGCGAAACATCGCATGAACAACTTTAAGAAAAAGGCTTTAGGGACCTAATAGCGATGGCCTCCAACCTACTAGCGATGATGGAAACATGGACTTGTCACATGGGTTGGAAAACTGCAATGACGCTGAACATAGCCATCCACAAACAGTATTGAGTTGTCAAGTCCTATGCATGGAGCTTGCTGCATGCCTCCACAGGCGCATCCTCCGTTTGCTCCCACCTGCAAAGCAAACAGGGGAACAGTGCAAAATGCTTTCCTGGATGTTAAACATGGGAACATCCAAATGGACAGAACATGAAAGAAACGAGGCATCGTTGAATTGTCCTAAGCTCCAAGCACTGGTGTCCCCATGGGACCAGTTGGTGCAGCTGGCATATCTGGTGTCCTTGAGACTGAAAACAGTTTAGCTCGAAGAAGTCTGGTTCAAAGCTGCATATGCCTATGCCATCGCTAGTAGGTTGGAGGTCGTTGCTAGTAGTAGGTTGGAGGCAACATCGAGGCCATCGCTATTAGTCTGGTTAAAAGCTGATATATGCCATATGTGGCTCGAAGAAGTAGTCTCGATCTTCCGAGGTCAGGGCCTTTGTGCAGGTTTCCTACGCTTCTCCAGCATCTTGTTCAGCATCTCCCGAGGTGCACAAGCATAACAGGACACACATGTACTAGTAGCGTCCTCGCTCCTAGTAGCGATGCCAGGAGCCCCTAGTAGCGTCCTTGTTCCTAGTAGCATTTGTTCAGGTCTTTCAGGCATAACAAATCACATGATACAGGACTATCAGTGATTGTCGATTGTATATATATATATCTTCGATCAAGTTTGCTTATCGTGGAATCTATGGAGTACAATCAAACATCTCAAAACATTTCCTGGCTTTTCGGACAGAACGGGGACATGTCATCGAGTATCTCTGCTTCCCTCTTGCGGCCCGGTGAACAGGCCTTCTGCGCATTTACTTCACCCTCATCGTCCTGGTCACGAGCTCGTTGAAACACCGGCCATCATTTCCTACTAGTGATGGCCTCCAACTCTTCGGAACATTTCTGCCAAGCTTCCATGCAATGCTGGTAGAGGACCACTGCCTCCTCTAACGCCTGCGGGTGATTGAAACTCTGAACACATTGCGCAAACCTGCTCCAAAATCTATTGCTGGAGTTGATCGCTGCGGTCGAATTCTGGCACATCGGCAATGTACGATGCATTCTCATTAGTCATCTCACCAAAACCCTAACTAGGAACAAGGACGCTACTACAGTAGGTGGAGGCAATCGCTATTGGGTTGGAGGCCATCGCTACTAGTAGCTCCGGGCTAACCAAAAGGGACGGCTGCACTTGAGCTTTATTCCCTGCTGCAGCGTTCACAAGGGTCATCCTAGCCACGCCTCCAGAGCTTCATCTCCGCGATTGAGAAACTTAGACGAGACAATTGACTCAAACAGGTTATACTGAGACTCAGATCGACCACGCTGCTACTGCACTAGCCTTTCTTTTGAAACAATGCCTCAAGCCAGCAAAACCCTGCAAGCTTCACTGTATTCAACAAGCATGTCCAAGATTGCCCAAGCATTCCACTTGCAAGTTGTTCGCAGCAAGGGTCAAAGCATTCGCCTTTGACAGAGAAGCATTGACCAACACTCTCAAAACTGGGCAACATGTGCACGATTTAAATCTGAAATTAGATCTGATCTGCCAGGTTTCAGTAGCGTTAGCCGTTTTGAACCATCCCCCCCAAACACTTGACCAACATGTTGAAGTGGGTACTTGAGCTCAGCGCCTCAAGCTGATAGTCCTCCAGTTCACGAAAGCGAAGCACCTTGGCGTGTTTCACCGGGTTCTTATTTATAACTTGTTCCTAGTAGCTTCTTGTTACTACTAGTAAGGCACTTGTTACTACTAGCGATGCACTTGTTCCTAGTAGCTTTTAAAGATGTGTCACCGTGTTTGGAGAAAGATGATCACTGACCCCCACGGAAAGCTCGAGCGTTTTGCTGGTTGTCAATGTCCGGCATAAGCGGCCGTCTTATTTCGTGGTTTGGAGCTGTTTGGGGGAAAAAGTTAAGCTTCCCAAAAAATCTAGGAAGCAAATCATGAGTGCGTGAGCTATGCTGCGTCCATACTAGTAGCTTAAGTAGCTAGGAGCGAAGAAGTCTGTCCCTTGCTTCATTAAGTAGGTGCCTACGTATACAATTGAGTAAGGACGCAGGGCCACGAAACACAGTTTTATTTCGTGGTGTGGAGGTGTCGTTCGGGTCTCGGGGGTTTGGACGGTTTGGAAAAAACGGCTTCGCGGGCTCGGGCACTGTTGTTGTTGCGGGCTTTTTGTGATGCTGGTCATGCTGGCAAGACCGAGGGTCACTACTTGCATCTCTACCGCTGTATGCGCGCAGCTCCTGCAAATTGCCCTGCTCCACGAAGTCTCTCTGGAGTGAGAAATTCGATCTTTGAGGAGCTTGTAGTGCTTAGAGTGCTGAGATGGTTTGTCAGCATTGCGAACACTAGACTGCAATTACTTCTTTTTTATGAATGTTGAGGGTTTCGCGCAAGCCCCATAACACACTCATTTCTATGAACTTCCTTTGAGTTTCTGTTGCTCTGCATTTTCTTTGAACTATCAGAAGATCTCTGCCACTGCTATTGGATAATGAGATTTGATACGAAAACCAAGCAGCTGGGTCCAGTTGAAAACACAACATCAAATTTTCCTTGACATAAAACATAGGAGTTTGCAAGTTGTGTCGTGTGCCTTTTCCGTTGAGCTTAACAATATCCACAGCACAACAATGTTGGCGTTTAGTGTTTTGCGCAAGATTCTTGTAAAGCCGTCTTGTCCAAGACACAATTCTTTCGGAAGTTTGCGTGTTGAGCCCCAGGCCGCTTCATCTAAGCAAACAAGGGCAGCATCGAAGCGACTCTGCTGTGTCAGGGCCTTCGAAGTGCAGTCTGTGAGGGGTTGCAAGAAGTTCACCTAAGGCCTTCTTGATTGACCTTCTTCAAATGTTCTTCTTGTGAGGAATCGTACGCGAATGTATATTGATATAAAACGCTAAGGGCACACCTGAGGGGTGGAGTTTTTGGGAATCCACACCTGTGCTTTGGCGCAAAGCAACTCTCCATGTAACTCTGGATTTTGCGCCAAGGACGCAAATCGCAGGATCTTCAGCCCGGCCTGGACGATTGGGTAGGTACCAAAAACTATGGACCTGCCTAGCAACATACTCTTGCATATGGAACAAAAGTAGGTCCGTTCCGATGCTCAGCCGCCATCCCTAAGAAGGAAAAAAACAAACGTACACACCTTCTTGGTTCCCCCTTGTTTTTCTTCTCTTTCTAAGAAACGCCAAACAAGAGGAACAAAGAATGGAAAACAAAACACGTTTGCAGGTAGATCCGCCTCTGCCGCCTTCAAGGACTCGTCCAAAGCCTGACAAAAGCTCGTTTCCTATCCGAAAGAAATCCTTTGCTCAAATCCTGTGAGGCTACTAGGAGCAAGGACGCTACTAGGGGCTCCTGGCATCGCTACGAACGGAGCAAGAACGCTACTCGTAAGATCCTGTGAGGTTCCTATCTCAGGAGGAACCCAGCTCCCCCCCTCTCCCTACTGAATCAAGTAAGGGCGACTAGTTCACTACTAGGCTAAGTTAGCTTCAATGACTTAGTTCCTAGATGTTTAGGGAGGTTCCGATCTCAGCTTCCTTCTTCATTCTCTTGTGCACTTGGCTTCAGGTGACTTGGCCACCACACTGTGCGCACTTTCTTGGAGGCCGGTTTGTCAGGTTGTACCGAACCTTCAAAAGTAATGCTGCTTCGGATGCCGGAAAAGGACTTACCATGCGTGAAAAAAGACACATGAACTTAAAAGCCTTCATGTTAGTAGCGTTCGTGCCAGTGACAAGGGGCAGTGACTCAAGAACCTAGGACCCTGCCAGTAGCATTTGTTTTCAATACCTTTTTTCCATGTGTTCTTGGTATATCACCTTCCTGAGCGGCTTCCTCGGCTGCATGCCGCGCGGAGTTCTCTGCTTGTACGTACAAGCAGCATACCTGGCTCAGAGCTACCAAGAAGTAGAGCACGGAGCTAGCAGGGGGAAGGACAGCTCAGGACACAAAATAGAATCTATCGCAAGCTGGAAAACCGTTGGATCCCCTAGCCAATCGTCTACCTTGTGGGAAAATTGCCATACTCGTGCATGGACTGGTCCAACGCCAACCTCGTCCTCTTCTGCAGCCTCAAACTGCCGGAACATCCCCCTCGCCTCAGCACATCTCCACCAAGACGCATTGAGGTATCCAATGAGCGATGGCCTCCAACCTAAAAGCAATGGCCTCCAACCTAAGAGGCATTAAGGTATCCAGTGATGCAACTTCGGGCTGCGGCCTCTTCAGCCATTTTGGAGGCCGCCTGGCTGGGAAAAGCAAATGACACACAAGTCACAAGTTCGCCTTAGCCCATCCGCCTTGCCAGCTTCTACAAGCTTTGTGTTTGTTGCTTGAAGAGACAGTGCAATTGAACAACAAGTCTAGGAACCAACTGATTAGTGCGAGGGCTTCTTCAAGGAAGCTCCCCCGCACCCTCAGGTGGGGGGAGCTTCCTTCAAGAAGCGTGAGCTATCCTGGTCCTACGTCCAGTTACCAGGAGCGTCCAGTACCTAATAGCCACTCACTAACTTATACCTCTTCCTCTAGGAGCCTACGGGGTAAAAGAAGAAAAAGGTAGCATTTTGTTAGGTTGCTTTCCAAACAAATGTCGGAACCGTTTCAACCATACGAACTGCGTTCTCTCTTTCTCTCCTTGTGCTCGTTCTTCTTCCAAAGCACTTGGCTGCAAAGCTTCAATGCCTCAGCTTCCTCCTTCTTTTGTCGAGCCTGCAAGCACAGAAACCACATGCAAACCTGGTCATCGACGGCTTTCGTGGTTTCCATATGATACTAGTATCTTGACAAACAAATATCATCCCTGTGTTCTTTTCTTTTGTTTTCCTGTTTGCTTTCGATTTTAGACCTCTTTCCTCCGTTACTTTCAAGGTAGGGTGTCCTCTTTTGCTTAAACTCTCATGTATGGACCATTCCGGTCCATGCCCAAACTGGCTCTCTATGCTGCACCTTGCGAAAGGCCTCCTTGGCCTTCAAAGCATTCTGCTTTGCTTCATCAAAGCGGTTGGTCTTCAGCCTCCGAGAAAAGACCCTCTGCCGCCAAGCAATCCAAGCTAGGCAGGAGATTCTTTGGAGTTCCAAAACCACACGGTTGATTTCTTGTGGTTCAAAAGCTTGGAGGTGTAAGGGTGTGGGTCGGCTTAGCCTTGACTCCTTTCTGAAGAATGTCTTGTCTTTGCATGTTCTTGTGGAGTGCAGGATTCGATGTTGCCGCAACAGGCCTAAGACCCTAAGAGTTTAAAGGCAACATAGACATAAACCGTTTATTTTGCTTTGTTGTTCAGAGCTGCAGTTGTGGCCCATCCTGTGGGGAGAGTTATAGGTATGTGTATTGAATTGTCCGACCATGTGAAATGAACTACTAGAATCTGCCGCAACAGTGCCAAACGAAGCGGAGCCTCCAGCTCAATTCAACCCAACACCATGACATTCAGCCAGGGCCAAACTTATGACTGCAAAATAGGGGCGAGGTGATCTTCTTTTTCGCTTGACTCAAAACATCCTTCCTGTCTTCGTCAAACTACTCTCTACAAGTGTACTGATATTATATACTAAAAGATTGGCGCTGCCCAGCAACGTCTTGACTCAGTGTCAAGCTGAAGCTCGGCACAAAGTTTAGCAGCGACTGCAGCCCCGTAGACCTTGGCTTCTTCACCCAGTTGGGCAGAGTGGTGGTGTGGCCACAGTTGTTGATTGGACACTTCACTGGGCAATCATATGAGTCTATTTATGTCTATTTGCTGTTCAATCACTTTTGTAAGTAGCGTATTGTTGATTGTATACTTATAATATCGTATAATGCCCACGTGCTCTTTCTTTGGCTGGAAAAGCATGAAAACAAAGCTGGGCACGTCCTTGCCAGATTCGAAATGGATCAAAGACTCTTCCACTTGGCCAAGTGCTTCCTGCTCTGCACAAGTGTCCACATACAGCATTAAAGACAACACGTGAAATCAATTCAAACAAGGACACTGTGTTCATCTTCCTGCTTGTTCGGACCAAGCAAACTGGACAGGTTGGAATGAAAAACATAGTTAACTCCTAGCTTGGAGGCCATCGCTTCTAGGTTGAAGGCCATCGGAGGCCATTGCAATCAGGTTCCTTTTGCTACTATTAGGTAAAACGCAGTTAACTGTCAACCTCACAGGCCAACAAAAACTCTCTGTCCGAGGGGCCGCGGGAAGGGACGCGTGCTTTTTCGTCCTCTTGAGTCAGACAATGGGTATAGACAGTGGGTATAGGACATGGGTATCTCAGATATCTCCAAAGCCAAAAAGCCGCTTGACAGCTCAGCTTGGAGGCGGTCAAAAATGACCTTCAGATTGCTAGACAAATGCAAGCATTTGCTCTCCTCTGTTTCAACTTCATCAGAGTGGACACACCTCGAATTGGAGTCTCAAAACATCTCAAGACCAAGACATGGTCGCGTTGAAAGATGAGGACACCTTTGCTTGCTTCAAACAAAAATTGCAGCAAGGGGCCTGGACCCTGGCCACATAAGGTGGTATGACCATCAATGGCAGCTGGAGGAAAAGATTACCCAGGGTCAGTCTCAACAGCATTCGAATGATTGATTTTCTTTGTATCCTATCCGTGTCCATTCGATGGTCATTAGTCATGATCCGGCTTGGCCGCCAAAAA